AACTGTTCCTGCAGCGGCATCAGGTGCGCCCCCGCCTTCACCGCGTCGGTCTGCGCTGTTGTTGGGGACACCGGTGTGCGGCACACCGCCTGGCTCGACTGCATCCGCGTTGCTCCCACGCCCAGCCGTCATGCCCGCATCCCCTTTGCTTGCCGCCTCTTCACGCGACGGATGTCCGGCGTCTGGGCGCAGGGACGTTGGATTTGGCCCCGCTGGTGCCGCGCCGGGAACCCCGCCAACAACAACACCGGCACCGCCGCCGCTCAAGTGGGAAAAGGCCGGGGAGCTGGGGTTGGGCTGCGCAACACGACCAGAAGGCGTACGGCTTCCTGCATCGCCGGAAAGAGGAGGAGCAACAACTCCGGCGTGTGAACACGAAGCGGCACCCTCGGGAGCGGAAGGCAGTCCGGAGTCGCAAGGTGCCGGCGGGTCCTTTGGGCCGCCCGCAACACAAGTTTCAGCGGTGGAAGCTGAGACATTTTCCTTCCTTTGTTTAGCAGCAGCTGCGGCAATGTTGGAAGGAAGTTTCCAGCCGGCAACATCCTCTTCGCGTGAATGCGCGGTGACAACCGTCGTAGCTGCGGCTTGAAGTTCTTCAACGGTGGGGGACCGGCCAGGGACACCCGGGGGGCAACGCACACAAGAAGTTGGGGCAGGTATGGGCTGAACGCATTTCATCGAGCACTGAGGAGCGGCAGGGAGACGAAGCTGCGCTTTGTCGGGGCGCTGGGAGTCATTCTGCAGCACAGGCGCAGCAGTCCGGTGGCCCACGACGGCCCCGTTGGCACCCGGGGCAGCAGTGAAATTCGCGCGGTTCAAAGCATCGGAGAGGGGCTCGCCGCCGAACTGAAAAGCAGCCTTTACATCGCCGCCTCCGGCCGCCGCAGTCGCCCCGCTGACAAACGAGGCGCAGAGCAGCGCGAGGAGCGCCAGGCCGCACACCGCACGGCGCCGCACCGCCAGCGTCGTCGTCATCGGCAAAAGTAGTAGTTGTGCTCGTAGAGTCGTGGCAGACTCGCTGAAGTCAGCGGGGAAAAGGACGCAGGAAACAAGAGAAGTAGAGAGAAAAGGAGAGGGAGTGCAGCGGAGACCGTGAAGAGAGCAGATGGGAAGAAGAAAAAAACGGGAGCCGAGCAACTCCACGCAGCCACGCAAGAAAGACACTCACAGCAGCGCCGGCAGCCACCCACGACGGAGCAGCGAAGAGCAGCCGCCCCCCGCACGCACATGCACACGGGAAGTAGGCCCGCAGCCACCACACAAATGAGGCGGCTCCCGCAAGGAAAACGAGTTAGTCACAGCGCACTCTCGCTCCTGCTGTGCGGTTTTCCTCCCTTCCATTCCCTTCACGGCCCGCGAGGAAACCGCAGCAGCAGCCGCACACGGCACTGCCAGCGCAGGCCGCGAAAACGCCATCCACCTGCACGGCACCACAGGCGCATCGCGTGCGCGTCGGTTGTGTGTGTGTGCCCGCAGCACTCAACGCAAAGNGGGAGAATCGTGTGGCGGCACACAGACAAACACACAC